GGAAGTCAACAGTCATCGCCCAACGGCTGAAATTTAGCAAATTCGAGTTATTTTCATCCAGATGTGTATTAAATCTACTCGAATAGTTCAGACAAATTCAAAATTGGTCCGATGGTTGCTGAGAACCGTTGCTGAATTTTGCGCGTCACGCGCAAAATTCAGGCATTGGGCCGATGACTTCCACATTCAAGCCACATTCAGCTCCCACATTCAGCGTGTGATTGCGGTGTATGTACGAGTATTACAACATTATTAATACGGTTGATGGAAAACGGCCGGAAACAGAGAACACCACCAGCGTGGTGAATGCTCAAAAAGGGTTTGAGTCTCATTATGATGCAAGTGTTTTTATTCGTACCTATTACACAAATTTGCATGTTTTATGAACAGTAATGTTTTCCTTGTCCTACCGTCCATTTACTCTGAATGATCCTGATTTATTCTTACCTCAATGTGCGCATCCATTAAACATTCAAAACGACCAACATACATGTAGCCCTCACTCGTTATTTCTTTTAATGGGTGTATTTCGTACGAAGGCTCCTCTCCCTCCGCGTGGTACCAAAGAAAAATGATGTGATTCACCTCTACAGACCTCAAAGTCTGTACTTCCGCCAAGTCCGGAACTGTAAGTGACCAAAATTATCGGAATAATATATTACTTGCTTTCTTAAACAGAAACTTAAAATGTTGATATATTTCTGCCAATGATGCCAATTCGACGGTGAAACTACCAGACCACGTTATTCGGTTTGCGACGTTGCAGACTCCTCGTCGTAGTTCATTTTTTAAACAGTGAACCCCTGAACGTCAGTTCTTAATCATTTCCGTGATTTTTTCTTCTTTGTGGGAAGAAAACTCTTCGAAAACTTCAAGGAATGATATTGATTTGTTCTTTTTCAAGAGAAAAAATGGGAGCTACGATTTTTAGAGAACACCATCAAGAGACCATCGTATTGCAAGGAACCTTACTTGGTTCCTCCTTAACATTTAAAAACAATCATTGTGGATTCCTTTATATTTTTCCAAAGTCTCGATGGGCCTTCAAACAAAAGCACAGTATGCAAGAGACTTTTGTCTCGCAAATCTCCATTTTCTGAAGAATCGATTTTTTCGGAAACTGAGGGGTATTCTTTTCGAAGTTTTTCAGCTTACTTTGTGCATTTATCATTGCTAAATTGAAAAAGGAACAACAATTTTCCAAGCACACTAACATTTTTCCCCATCACATCATAATTTTTTGCCTTCTCAAAATTTTCCGCAACAAAAATGTGATCATGGGGTAAAGAAACATTGATCCTTAACCACCAAAGTAATTCCTCTGTTCAATAGTATGAAGTTCCTGGAGCATCATTTGTTTATTGTATCGAATTTGTTTTGCGCTGTTGAGAATTGCCATTCTACCGGTCAAAAGACTATGACCAATGGCCGTCCTATGATGTATGATGGATGGCTGGAGTAGAAAACTTTGTATTTAGAAACAGCCTTTCTTGAATGTAAAAAAAAAATTGTATTTTCATTCAAATTAGTTTGATAGGTTTCATACCGGGTAGACTAAGTCACGGCATTAGTAATTTTTCACACATATTATGACTCTCAAACGTCACTCATTCAGCGTGAAATAAAAGGTAAAAACTGATGCAATTTCGAGTTACGCATTTCCCTTCATATCGTACCGCAGGCCGCTGTGAGATGTGCATTTTTCGCCCTATGCAACAGAATGAGATTTTCTTGAAAATGTCCTTCCAATTCTCGCGTATGCAATATTTGAGATGCATAGGGTTCTTTCTACTACATAAATGATGGTGATGGCTTTTTTTCTGTTCTCAGTGATCACTTACCTTCTTTGGCGCCTTGGATATTACTCCATTTTTTTGTTTCACCATCGAATTGCCACCCATGGGAAGGGCATTCTATGTGCGTCTTTGCTGTCCCTTCTAATCCCATGTTTACTCGTAAATGGGGGCAGCATGTGTTGAAAACCTGCACTGTTCCATCCGACATTCGAAAAACAGCAACATTTTTGCCTGAAACACGAAAGAACGTTAAAACGACCATTCTTGCACTGTTACCAACACGGCCGGATTTACCTACTTGCCGCCCATGGGCCGCCCGTATTTTGCCGTCCCCTTCTTATTCGTTTTGAAACATCAATAAAAACCCTCAAGTGAACGTGTCAGCAGGAGAGGGGTGCATAAGACGCGTTTACTCGTGTTGGACAAATTTTTTGGGAAAGCCCTGTCAACACTACTAGCAAAAGTTCGCGGAACTTTGCGCGAAATTTAAGTTATAGAAGTAAATCCTATCTCTTTGTGGACAAGGCCATCCATTCATCAGAAATGAACAATGAAATTATGAAAGAACAAACATAAATGTGGTTTAATTATTTTAACTTCAGCCGCGCCGCGCAGACCGCACCGTGTTTGGCGCAATGCGTGAAGTATTCATGCATTCTTGCAGGCGCTATCTGTTTCACGCTGACCATAGTGACCGCACTATGTTTGATGCAATGCGTGAAGTGTTCGTGCAGTCTTGTAGGAGCTAATGTGTGTTACATGCCGATCGATCGCTGCGCCGAGGCTTCTCCTTTTCATCTCGAGTCCTTGTCATCATTTCTCTCCAAGTCGAGCCGTTCCAGGCCAAATTGCGTGTTTGGTTTCTCTCTTAACTCGACCAATTAAAGGTGCTGTCACTTGTATCACATGAAAGACGACAAAATTAGAAATTACTGTACTCTCAGGAAATTAGAGATTTTGTCGCCTTTTATCGTTTTTAATTTTTTTTTCTATATCCGATTTTTTTTATACGTACATTTAAAAAAATTGCAAAATTTGCTACCCCCTAGATTTGCCGCCATGGGCCGCGGCCCATGTGGCCAACCCCTTAATCCGGCCCTGGTAACCAAGTCAATGGGTCATCAGACAAAGTGTAAATCTACTAATGCACTACTATAATGCATAATTATTCCATGAAATTTCACGGATAACAGAATTTGTGGAACGAAATTTACTGAAATGAACTAACTAGGATATTTAGCGTCAATTCTGACATGCTGCATATGAAAAAGGGAAAGTTAACCATTCATGATTTCATCAAGACCCCCCCCCCCCCTTCCGCCCTCTCCCCTCCGACCAATACATCTTTAATTGATTCGAAACATTTGAGGGTTTTTGTTGATCTCTCTCTGAGACTAGAGTACCTTTATAGACAGAGTAGGGCCATTTCTGTTCCGGTTTTTCATTGGTCTTGTGAAAATAGGCTGACACGATGTTCTTACGGCCGTAAATAAACAAACAAGATGGCTGTTATCAGCAAGCAAGATTGAGGCTATGCACATCTTACATCCTCCTGTGATAAAGGTGAAAGGCGATTTAACAATGTTTTCATGTGTTTTTCGTGTGTTATTCGTAGATATGCTCGTTTAGATTGTTACTGCCACATAATTTAAATTTATGTCAAATTTAGCTTCTTATCGATGTTACGGTGAGCCGCCATCTTGTTTGTTTATTTACGGCCGTAAGAGCATCATGAAGCCTAAAAACTCGTTGACAAATCAAAAAGCGGAACAGTTTTCCTTTAGTAAGAAGATACGAATGGCCATACTCTGTCCATAAAGGTATCTGAGACAGAGGGATTTAGGGACATCTGATGATAACAATCACGGTGCCCCTGAACTCACTTTAAATGCGACTTTGTTGTACATCAAAAATTCAAGTTGGAGGTTGTAGTGGGGTACTCCCTGATGGGTTTTTGGGCAATTTCGAAATAGGTTGTCGGAGCTCCTCGAAAAATAATCGCATTTTTGTGGTTTTTTAGGGGTAAAATAGCAAAATTGGCCTCCGGGCGACAAATTAAACCCCCTCTCCCTCATCCTTGCCTTGACCGATCTGAATTTTTAGTATGTTTTTACCTGGTATAAGATGGGACTTTTCTGAAATTTTCATGCCCATACAAATTTTTTTGCTCCCGCGGCAGCGTTGCCAAGTTGCGGACTCCAAAATATCGAATTTAATGATAAAATGAAGGTTTCGGAGTGTGATTTCCATTCAAAATCAAAAATTCAAATTGTAAGTTGTAGTAGGGTACTGCCTGATGGGGTTTTGGCCAATTTCGAAGTAGAGTGTTTGAGATTTTTGAAAAATAATCGAATTTTTGCGGTTTTTTAAGGGTAAAATAGCACACTGAGCACGGGGCGGCAAGTTGAACCTTTTCTCTCTCATCCTTGCCGTGACCGATCTGAACTTTTAGTATGTATTAACCTGGTATAAGATGTGACTTTTCTGAAATTTTCATGCCCATACAAAATTTTTTGCCCCCCGCGGCAGCGTTGCCAATTTGCGGACTCAAAAATATCGAATTTGATGATAAAATGAAGGTTTCGAGGTGTGATTTCCTCCAAAATTTCACGAAAAATGTGCAATCTGAGAGTTTTCGATAAGAAAAGGCATATTTGAACAATTTAGAGTTGCAGTGTTGCCAGCTTTTGATTTAAAATTCGTCAAAATGACCCAAATCGCGTTGCAACCTCGAGCGCTGGATTTTTATTTCGTTCAGAATTGGTTATTACGGTTCTTCTGTACTCTATGCATTTAGGTACCATGAAAATTATGCCATTACTTACTTGATGGGTGCAGCTAACTCAAAAAGAGAGGCCGGATAAAGCGATGAGTCGGGGGAAAACGAGCGGTTCGGGTTGACAGAAAGTTCTTAAATCTACTCCATCACCAGAAAGTAGAATTTGAGAACTTTCTCCCACCCCCCAAACCTTATCCCTGTTGCAGTCAATCCTTTGAACATCTGATCTGAAATTTTGCCCCCGAATTTTTACCAAAAACATGAAAAATAAAAACACGTTTTTGTGCAAAAACACATCATGTTTTTGGTAAAAATTCGGGGGCAAAATTTCAGATCAGATGTTCAAAGGATTGACTGCAACAGGGATAAGGTTTGGGGGGTGGGAGAAAGTTCTCAAATTCTACTTTCTGGTGATGGAGTAGATTTAAGAACTTTCTGTCAACCCGAACCGCTCGTTTTCCCCCGACTCATCGCTTTATCCGGCCTCTCTTTTTGAGTTAGCTGCACCCATCAAGTAAGTAATGGCATAATTTTCATGGTACCTAAATGCATAGAGTACAGAAGAACCGTAATAACCAATTCTGAACGAAATAAAAATCCAGCGCTCGAGGTTGCAACGCGATTTGGGTCATTTTGACGAATTTTAAATCAAAAGCTGGCAACACTGCAACTCTAAATTGTTCAAATATGCCTTTTCTTATCGAAAACTCTCAGATTGCACATTTTTCGTGAAATTTTGGAGGAAATCACACCTCGAAACCTTCATTTTATCATCAAATTCGATATTTTTGAGTCCGCAAATTGGCAACGCTGCCGCGGGGGGCAAAAAATTTTGTATGGGCATGAAAATTTCAGAAAAGTCACATCTTATACCAGGTTAATACATACTAAAAGTTCAGATCGGTCACGGCAAGGATGAGAGAGAAAAGGTTCAACTTGCCGCCCCGTGCTCAGTGTGCTATTTTACCCTTAAAAAACCGCAAAAATTCGATTATTTTTCAAAAATCTCAAACACTCTACTTCGAAATTGGCCAAAACCCCATCAGGCAGTACCCTACTACAACTTACAATTTGAATTTTTGATTTTGAATGGAAATCACACTCCGAAACCTTCATTTTATCATTAAATTCGATATTTTGGAGTCCGCAACTTGGCAACGCTGCCGCGGGAGCAAAAAAATTTGTATGGGCATGAAAATTTCAGAAAAGTCCCATCTTATACCAGGTAAAAACATACTAAAAATTCAGATCGGTCAAGGCAAGGATGAGGGAGAGGGGGTTTAATTTGTCGCCCGGAGGCCAATTTTGCTATTTTACCCCTAAAAAACCACAAAAATGCGATTATTTTTCGAGGAGCTCCGACAACCTATTTCGAAATTGCCCAAAAACCCATCAGGGAGTACCCCACTACAACCTCCAACTTGAATTTTTGATGTACAACAAAGTCGCATTTAAAGTGAGTTCAGGGGCACCGTGAATGACGTTTAAAAAGATCGATATTCAGTTCGACATTTACCCTAGTGTGTTAGATCAACGTTAAATTTCCTTCGCTTGTCAGGGATATGCACTCCATTTTTAAATATATCGACGGTGAAAGTCGGCAATCACATAACTCGTTTGCGGTGTCTGAAAATCTCCGCCTCTACGTCAGTTTTTTAAAGGAGAGCAAATTGACCTTATTTCTTGAAGTTTTGCAAGAATTTTCTTCGCATTGAGAAGAAAAATAATGACAGTTTTAAAGAATTGCCGTTGAGTAGTTTTCCATTTAAAAAATAAAGTATGACAGGAAGTCTGCGACGTCGCAAACCGAGTTATGTGATTGCCGACTTGCACCGTCGATATTTTATGCTAAAATTACCCAAAGCCATGACGTATTTAATCTCGTTACGGCCAATTTCCGAGGATTTGAGTATACCAAACCATCCGTTCGGATAAATTGGAATAGATTTCCCCGACTTCCTTTGCAATCGACCCTTGAGGTGCTCTTTTGCCATCGCATCATTTTTCGCAGGAAGTTTGAAATATTTATCACCCTTCGCTCCGGTCAGGTCCTGAGTATGAGAAAATAAAAGAGAACAATGAAAAATAAAATCTACTCAATAGTATGAACTGCATCTGGATAAACACGAAAATTTTGAAAGTAATCTGAAAATGGTTTACCGTTTTCAACATGGAGGGATAAAACTTGTTGGGAAACAATCGAGGAAAATACATCATATCATGAACTTCGTATTTCCAGTGGGGCCATCAAAGGTTAAAAATACGGAAGAATTTTGGAAATTCTTCTCCTCCAAACAACAAGTCTGTTTCGAAAATAACCATCAAACAAGTTGGATTTTGCAATCGCTAGCGATAGCAATATTCGTCATGGGAACGTTAGCTTCTAGGATATGAAAATGTTAAGGTACAGTTCGTTTGGAGTATCTTCTGAATTGAAGGGGCTATGTAATTTTGTGTTGACATCTCTTTTTTAACATTTTTAATTATTTTCTTTGCATACAAGAAAGCTGTTATGTACCAATTATTTATTTTCGTTGGATTATCTATGGTTTTCGGAAGTTAACGCATTTAAGTTTCAAGTTCGCTTATTCGGCGTAAAGTATACATAAGGTGTCCCAAAAGCACCGGGACTTGTTCTGTAACTTCAAAAGTAAGATAGATACAGACATGATCTTGATCTCATTTTAAAGATCAACTCAATACCTATCGATTAAAACCAAGATCAGCTCAATCAGATAAAAATTGACCATTTTATGGCAATTTGAAATCAGCGAGGAAAGTTTACGCCTACGGTTTTTAAGGAAGATTCTTCATCGCCGTAAATCGAAAAGTCGGCCTATAAAGTGCTGCTTATTGTGTTTTTTTCATTTTCGAGGTGTCATTTATCAACATTTTGTACCACCAAACACAACAGTTGACAGTGCGTATTATTGCAAAGTGCTAAAGGAGTTGAGAATGCACATTTCCCGGAAACGGTCGGACTTGAAAGCTTCGTGGATACTCCATCAAGACAAGCGCGGCCTCACACATCGAGCTTAACACGTGAATTTATGAGTAAAAATGGAGTTGAAACAATCCCTCATCCCCCTTACAGCCCTGACTTGGCTCCATGTGATTTTTGGATGTTTCCTACGCTTAAAAAGGAGCTTCGCGGACGAAGATTCGAATCGAAGACCGAAATCCAGAATGCAATTCAAAACTTTTTCAACGCCATCCCAGAGGAAGAATTCAGGAAAACAATGTTGGATAAGTGGCAAGAGCGCATGAAAAAGTGCATCCGGTTTGATGGACGATACTTTGAAAAGCAAAAGGAAGTTATGGAAGATTCGGAGGAAAGTGGATACGAAAATTAACTTTTTGAATGCTGGTAAGCGAAAAATCTTCCTAAAAACCGTAGGGGTAAACTTTCCTCGCTAATTTCAAATTGTCATAACTCTGTCAATTTTTATCCGATTGAGCTGATCTTGGTTTTAATCGATAGGTATTGAGTTGATCTTTAAAATGAAACCAAAATCATGTCTGTATCTATCTTACTTTTGAAGTTACAGAACCAGTCCCGGTACTTTTGGGACACCCTACGTATGATATTTTTACTCTACACATATGCCCGAATACGCATCATAAGGGACCTTTTTGCTCCCTAAGTTGCCAAGTATTAATTATTGTTTGATGATTGGTCTAAAACATTCAATACAACCAGTAAAAATTAACTGTCCCCTGCGAGATTCGAACCCCCGTTCGCACAAAAAATGACATTTTCCCATAGTCAGAACGGTGTCTCTACTGACTGAGCCATCTCGCCGGTCGGGAGCGGTAGGAGAAAAGAAAACAGTTCAGTGATCTCGGACGCTGAGCGGGGCTTCACAAAAGACGACCTTGAGATTTCGGCAGTTCGGCCACTGGCGTCATAAGAAACAACGGATTAAGCGCATTACTCTGTGAGACATTGTTTACCTATGCTGTCATATGTCACAAGGTTCATCTCAGCATGCACTTGCGATCGCGGCAGTAAGCTGAGGCAATATTTCTGTATTCATGGATTAAATCCATCAATCGAGTTCTGATTTTGGCTCATATATCCGTAACGGGTCCTCCAGAGCAATTTTCCACCTTGTACGATGGTTATTATTTCTTTATATCTATGTTTAAAATTTGAGGTGGGATAATGGCGGCTTCTCAAGAGCAACGAGGTAGGCGATCTTTTGCACCAACGAACAGAAAACTGATGGCGAAAAATAACCAATCGGAACCTCCCAAAAAAAAGAATTTGCCTAAAATCGGAACTTCGTGGTTCTGCGCAGATTTACCAGTCAGACACGACATCTCAAGGTGGAAAAAAACTAGCTGAAAGCGAATTTTAGAAATCAACACAACTTGACGTAGAGACATGATTGGCTAAAAAATACAACGGTTTTTGATACATCGGAAAATCAACCAAAAATCGAAGACTGGGCGAAACGCTCAAGGTCGCAGAGGCATAGGGAATCCCATAGCGATAGCAACGGAACGATTGTAATATCATGGGGAACTCCGTTCCCATGACAATAAGTCTGACGTTTTTATAGTACATCTTTACTCAGTCGTCGGACCTTGATATCATTGCGCATCAATGAGCGGACGTCACACAAACGCGGTTAAAATTGCCTCTCTTCCCATTCATCAACGAACACGCTCATTTGCTGCAGATTAATGGAGACGATCATTTCCTGAGGATAATCTTGAGGCGGTAGTAAGCTCCACTGAAGAATCAGTGAACTTGAAAATCATCATTTCTAAACTTAAAGCATCCCTTGCAATCGAGGCAGAAATTGTGTATCTTATTGGCTTAGGTGACTAAACTGCGTGGATCACTCACTACGTAAACCGTTTGCGTTTGCATACGCACTAACAAGGCTTACGAGGTATGAACTCAGGTAGTTACTTACGGAAATTAAATTCAGCGGTCGGCTCAGATAATACAGAAGACAGATCGTTCCGAGAGATAGCAAGGCGAGGAGAAGACCCGTTTGGGAGAGTGACGCAAAGCAGGCAGTGCAATACCGTATACTGAAGACTTCCAAACTACCTATAGTCATTGCAACTTGTGTCAGAATAATAATGATGTGAATGATGCTACAAACATGACTTTAAAAAAACAGCTTCAAAATCTTGATAAATAGCAACTCGCCGGTGGCACTGCAAAAACACGAATCTCATTCGTGGTTTTTCAAACTCTATTCTGTTCTATTCTATCGTGTTCTATCTAAAACTATTCTGTTTTATCTGACCAACACCAAGACTTGAAACTTTCACAGAGTATGCTTCACACAGAAAAAAAGTTAACGGAGGTTCTCACGGTATGATCATAGGAATTTTTTTAGGAAGGAAATACGTTTGACATCATGTCTGCAACGCCGTAAACCGAGATACACGTCCTGTAGTTTCAGCGTCGGATTGTATCCTGAATGCGATAGGTTTTTGAAGATTTTTGAAGTGACCTCCCTCAGAATTTTCCCCTCCCCCATCTAAAAAAAATCACGAAGTACAATTCCATTTATCTTAAATCCTGCTCTCAATTTAGTATCAAGCGAAAGCATTTGCATAGTTGACCCTTATTTTTTTACTGTCAGTATATCTCAAGTTAAGGGGTAACTCTACAAAACTGTTTGGGTGCATAAAAAAACTAGGATAAACATTTAATAGTAGTGCTTTATCATGAATTTCCGATTATTGTAATTGGCTTACTTGACATAATAACGCCATACATGGCAACACATGGAAATAAACTCCTAACAAGAAGATAAACTAGTTGAATTGGCGGATCATTCAGAAAGTTGTGAGATTATAATACTAACTCAACTCAAGGGAAGGATACTTATGTAAAATCTTTATTGATAAGAAATATTGATTATAACTATACTTGTACCTACTTCACATTATGATGCTAATTTTTGGTTTCTAAGAAGTTAGCCAACACAAAAAGAGGTGGGTCACCCAGGTAAAATTAGACTTCCCCTTTTGTAATTGATCCGAGACAGGAATCTAAATTTGCAAAAAATTTCCATCGAAAATACTGAGATAAAAAATAAATTCGGCGTTTTTTGTCATTCTGTCAATGCATTCATTTTTTTCAATCTCGCACGAGGGATGAACTTTTTTTTAACTGCTGTGTTCCTTTACAGCAGCCCTGCTAAACATCCCCAGTTTCTTCCATCACTGAAATATATAAAATGGGATGATCCAAGAATTTTACCTTCCCCAGAAGAGAGTGTCCAAATTGAATGCATCTTCAGCGTCCTTTGAGGGAGACTAGAAAACAATTACGTTACGCGTCCAGTTTGAGAATGACGTTCGGAATGGAGTCGGCGACACGCGACAGGTGGACAAAATAAATAAGAAAGACGGAGACTCAAAAGAAGTCAACCGACGTTGTCACCCATTTGCATAACAGTATCTTGTAAGACTATCTAAAACTGGAAATCCGCGTCAGGATAATTTAGTTATTTACATCGAAACAAGCTAAATCTCAAGTGCAATCTAAGGCATATTTCCCCGCTATTTCCTAGGTTTAAAATCACTTTTTGAAAATCTTCCCTCACTCTGAGCTGGAACTTGACGCAGCTTGGAAAGTTAAGAGCAGGAAGAATTGCGCAATGCCCAACCACACCTTGAAATGGAAATATTTTGGTATTCTCACGGCCTTCATTTTTCTTCCTCAAGTGGAAAAATATTTGCATATCCAAAAACACGACGCTAACATTCAAGCTCACAAAAAACTTAACGTGCAATGCTGACTTCCAATTTTTAGTTACATATCGACGGTGTAAGTCGGCAATCGCATAACTCGTTTGCGGTATCTGAAAATCTCCGCCTCTATGATCTTTTTTTAAAAGAGAACAAATTGACATCATTCCTTGAAATTTTTGCAGAATTTTCTTCGCATGGAGAAGAAAAATCATTGCAGTTTTAAAGAATAGCCGTTGAGTTGTTTTCCGTTTAAAAAATGAAGTATGATAGGAAGTCCGCGACGTCGCAAATCGAGTTATGTGATTGTCGACTTACACCGTCGATATATTTCGATCCACGGCCTTTCTCAAGGATGCCGCTACCCGAGGATCACAAGAATTCACTGAAAAAACGAGTTTAGGGTATGGTGGCTGCGCGGAAGGTCCCAGTCCTAACCGGGTAGGTAAATTTGCTTTACCTCAAACCCCACAGAGGCAGGCCCGGCGCGGGTAGAGTCCAAACCTACCTGCTTCAGGGTTCAGCCCTACTTGGGAGGGGCTGGACCACTGGTCATGAGGGGAATATTCATTTGAAATTTTTGAGTTTTAACCCACCCCCCTCCCCCTGAGGGGCTCAAAAACTGGAATGTACCTAATAAAGAGTTTCCCCCTCAGTTTGAAAAAAACGTCACAAACCGAAAATCAATAGCTTAATCGGAACTAAAATTATGGCCAGTGGTGCGTGACTTTTGAATAACCCTGTATGAATATAATGATTATAAGTTGCACGGCAAACCTGTGTGGAGTTTTCCATTATTTAACTGCAAACCTCAAACCGTTGTACATAAATATATTCGGTTTGTGATCGGGCCTTTTTTTGCGCCCAGATTACCAAAAGAATGCTTAGAGTCATTCTCACTCACAATTTCAAATTATAATTTAATTCAGAAACATAAATATAAAATTAAAAAATTAAAAATTAAAAATCATGGTTGAAGGGTAAAAATAAAAAACGTAGTATCCAAAACAAGAAATTGAAAATGCATCTTCTGGCGTGTCGCGATGACGTCTTCAACAGATGCGATCACGACTTCATTAACGGGTACTATACCATGACATATTCAACAGGTGCACAGCGACGTCATCAACTGGTATCGCGATGATATCATTGCATACCTCCAGAATACCTATGCAGGAAAATTATTGTCGTCTCAATCCTTTCACTAAAAAAAAGTGCCGCACTCTGATTTGTAAACCAATTTATGACTTACATGGATCGTCAGAAGGATGGAAAGAGGGAGAGGGGAGGAGGAAAATAGCACGTATGCAGAGAATGAAATTAATCATGCTCAAATAATGATGTAAATTTATGGTCCGACTTACTTAAATATTCGTAGATACAGAAAAGTTAATTGTTTTTAAATTAAAACATCCTATAAAATCAAGTTTCAGAACAAATAAGAAACTTTTGAATAAATCGTCTTACAAATGTAGAGAACCAATTATCAAACAATGCCTTAAAAACATTCCACGCAATGGCAATTTTGCCAATGCTTGGAACCCTCAACCAAGGACAGTAATTTTAATAGCACTCTTGCTGATCGCCGTGTTTGACGAATATTTTACCGCAAGATTGTTATTTCAACGGAGATACTCGCTAAACATTTTCTACAGAAAGGAAGCTCACGGTAAATAGACAAGAGTTTTCCTAAAAAAATCACAATTTCACAGTAAGTACATCGACGATTTTAAAAACAATTCTGCTTCATTATTTATACTTTATTTTCTCTGAGGAGAACCATACATTCCGAATTTGTATTTCACGGGTATTTAAGATGAACCGTTTGAGAACTTGACAGCAGCTTTATGGTAGATTTTTACAAATTTTCAAACTTAATAAAATGAAAACCAATGATTGGAATTTCAGTCATATCACTTGTGACGAAAGTGATTCCTCGCATCCAGAGACAACTCGCATCTTTGCATTCTCGGCATGAAATAATTAATAATTTGTCTCTTGACGCGCCCCCCCCCCCCCCATCTGAGGTCGAATGAATGTGGCACCTCCAGGCGTCATAGTCCGAACCGAAATTGTTACTACCCTCACAGAAGCCTGTATGAGCGCTTTATCCCTCTGACGTCATTTTGAAAGTCAGATTCTAGGATCACATGAGACACCCTGCTTCTATTTTGGATCCAACCGAATCTATATCATTTTTTAATGCGTACTGTGTTGGGCACTATTTGAATCATTCTCAAATTTTCCCTTGGTTACAGTCCAAGCAGGGGCTGTTTTTTGAGTAGAACTGACTGTACCATCGCCTGAAGTTGACTAGGGCTCCCTCCTCCTTCATCATGTTCAGTTGCAATCTTGGTTTTCCATAGTTCCATATCGGGGCGTCTTGCTCAAACTGCAAACGTAAAATTATAAAGAAAATTAATGCCTTGCCAAAAGTCGATCCGTGATCCCTAGACATAGACAAGCAGTATCAACTTTCGTTTGCTTACGTATGAGGGTCAAGTGCAGCGCAAAGGTGTGATTTTTTCACTTGTTTGAATAAATATCAACGCAAAATTCGGTTTCAATCCAATATTATCTATAGTTTTTCCCTGCATATTTGTGTTGAAAAATGAAAAGTTCAAAGCGAACAATGATTAAATCCGCAGACCAAATTCTTTGTAAGTATTAGTTGAGGGTAAATGAACATTTTTTTTTTTCTTCTTTCTTTTTTTTTTTTTATGATTCAATCTTCTCCCTATCATTTTGCTTCTCATGAAGTGGATGTTCTAACCAGGAAAGACCTTCCTCAAATGTCGTCAGGATCCTAGCGAGAAGAACGTGTCAAGGTGTGCCAACATGATGATGCACCAGACGATTCTGATAGGGGAAGGGGTCGGCCGAACCGAACGTCAGAGTAAAATTGGTAAGGCGTGGCCACTTTTAAGAAAATGTTGATCTAAAACAGCACGAAGCGCCGGTTTTTCTCGCGTAATTATAAAGTGGTGGGGAGGGGGGGGATATTTACTTAATCCTGACGTAATTTTTAAAAATTGCCTGACTTCGCGTGTGGCCCAATTACTAAAACTATCCACGCACCAGACAAGATATAGCCCTATCTTAACTGTGCAATATATCGCATTTCCATGCCTTATCGGGCTGCTTTAAACTTTCAATAGTTGGCCCGCTGACATGTATTTGTCAGGAGCGAAATACGATTGTGAGTCAATAAAAGCAAGACGTCATTTACGGTCGGCCGATCTAATCGATGAGGCGCGCTTTGAGCATCAAAATACTAACGCAAGCAGAATAATTTACCTTCGAGCATGCATCTTTAATAATTGCAAGACACTCACGCTATTGCGGTATCCCCTCAATATGGGTCGTGCCATGAGAATTTGAAATGGTCGCGCATAAAGTCGTCCGGTCAATCGAACTGTAAGTGGCCCAATTGGCGTAATGCACATCGGCATGTATATTTTGACTTTTGAAAATGATGTTGTGATCTCGATGTAGCCTGGTCCAACCTGGATCATAAGATTTGTATTATTATTATTAAAAAAAAAAAAAAAAAAAAAAAAAAAAAAAAAAATCCCACGGATACGGTAAACGTTACGGGTCCAACGATCAGAATCATTTTAGCTCATAATGGTACGAATGATATACACGCGTTTATTTCATGATTGGGTTAATGAGCTACAAATTTTGCATGAATTTTATTCTGTGTTATAGCTGCCTAGCAACTAAGCTATATGTCAGTATTTTACATAACGTGTGTTAAACAATTCATACCTACTAAAGATAGTGTTCCGTTAATATGTCAATACATGATATCTCTGTTTCGCAAATTGTTCTATTCATGAAATATTAGTGAGATATTATAATTATATAATAATTCCATATCATAAATATACCTTCTTATAGTAATTCTCCGAATATAATCATACCACTGCGGTGGTCAGGTATGACAGTGGTCATTATTTGGTGTAAAGGAGAGAAAATTCTCCGTTGCTCTTTTTTCATCAAAATAAATTCAATACATCAAGTCCTTATACATACAAATTTTGCTAGATGAACTCCGTTTGGAATGGTAATTTTTTTAAAAAGTTCCAACTGAAATTCTGTGCGACCCCACGACAAGTGAGGATGGTCTGCATTAGGTTCCCAGGATGTTTTTTGGGTCAAGTTGGCGAAGAACGAAATCAATTTCTTCCAGAAGCCATCCAGGTCCGCTCTCGCAAGACCCAGTGAAGGAGCGTGCACAAAATCAACATGTGCGTTGTCAGCCGCATTTTGCACTATGTCCTTGAAATTAAAGAAAGCGAACTTTCAAAAATCAGAAACAATTTGTAAAGGAATATTCACAAGTCACATAGGACACCTCTGCAACAAATTGAGGTAGAGACACGAAAGTTTGGCGTACTTGTTGATCATTTTTGGTACCCACTCCCTTCATATCGGAAGCCCACATCCCAGCCGGGAGGGTGGGGGAGGGGCTGTCGTTTCCCCCTTCTCCAAGAAGTCAAGAGGATGCTTTTTCGAAGCGAAAGTGTCTCTTGCGTGAGAAATTGTTACAAATTTTTTAGGACAAACCGCTAGTATCTTTAGTTATCTGAAATTTAGAGCTAGTATACAAAAAATTTCTAAATTTAAACCTAATTGTCATGCTATTTTGAATTTATAAGAAATTATAATCTTCTAGTTTCCGTAAGATAGTCTCTGCTCTCTCTTTCAATCCACGGACGTTGTCAGAAAAATAAAACACCCCTCATAAAACGGCTCCTCCACAAACGATGCCAATAATAAACAATGTTCAAACTATTGTCAAGAGGAATCCTTTAAAGGTTCCAATTTTCTTAAATATCCTCAACACCGAATACTTAAGGTGATTCGATGGACGCCATATTTTGTGTCCGAACGACCTGCGATATATCGCATCGATTGGTTCCATTTTTTCAGCTAATTAGCATTTTTCTCAAATTTTGAGATCGCGATCTGTTGTCAGGAAACTCACTAAGTAATTTTGACGAACAAATTCAACGAAATAAAGACGTGGTTTTCTTAGAGGACAAATATTGCAATCGATACTGATATCGAAACTGCACTCGAATGCGATATTTTTCCCGTAAAGAAACCACGCTTTCAATGAGTTGAATTTGTTTGTCAAAATTGGTAAGGGAATTCTTTAGTCTCCTGACAACAGACTTGCCATCTCAAAATTCGAGAAAAAAGACGAGTAGCTGAAAAATGGAACTAATCGGTCCGACATATCGCATGCCGCTCTGACACAAAATATGGTGTTCATCGAATCACCTTAATGTTGACCTATCTTATTCAGACAAAAGCAAAAAAGGGGTTTGAGAATATGCTGTAAATTTTTTTATTCGTGTCACATAAATTTTCAAGTTTTATAAACAGAAATGTTATTCTTCTCCTACTGTCACAATGCTCTACATGATACTGATTTATTCTTACCTCAATGTGCGCATCCATTAAACATTCAAAACGACCAACATACATGTAGCCCTCACTCGTTATTTCTTTTAATGGGTGTATTTCGTACGAAGGCTCCTCTTCCTCCGCGTGGTACCAAAGAAAAATGATGTGATTCACCTCTACAGACCTCAAAGTTTGTACTTCCGCCAAGTCCGGAACTGTAAGTGACCAAAATTATCGGAATAATGTATTTACTTGCTTTCTCAAGCAACAATACTTAAAATGTCGATACATTATTCTGCCAATGATGCCAATTCGACGGTGAAACTACCAGACCACGTTATTCGGTTTGCGACGTTACAGACTCCTCGTCATACTTCATTTTTTAAATGGTAAACTCCTGAACGTCAATTCTCAATCATTTCCGTGATTTTTTCTTCTCTGTGGTTAGAAAATTCTTCGAAAACTTCAAGGAATGATATTGATTTGTTATTTTGCCAAAAAATAAAATGGGAGCCGCAATTTTTAGAGAACACCATCAAGAGACCATCGCATTGCAAGGAACCTTACTTGGTTCCTCCTTAACATTTAAAAACAATCATTGTGGATTCCTTTATATTTTTCCAAAGTCTCGATGGGCCTTCAAACAAAAGCACAGTATGCAAGAGACTTTTGTCTCGCAAATCTCCATTTTCTGAAGAATCGATTTTTTCGGAAACTGAGGGGTATTCTTTTCGAAGTTTTTCAGCTTACTTTGTGCATTTATCATTGCTAAATTGAAAAAGGAACAACAATTTTCCAAGCACACTAACATTTTTCCCCATCACATTATAATTTTTTGCCTTCTCAAAATTTTCCGCAACAAAAATGTGATCATGGGGTAACGAAACATTGATCCTTATCCACCAAAGTAGTTCCTCTGTTCAATAGTATGAAGTTCCTAGAGCATCATTTGTTTATTATATCGAATTTGTTTTGCGCTGTTGTGAATTGCCATTCTTCCGGTCAAAAGACTATGACCAATGGCCGTCCTAAGATGTATGATGGATGGCTGGAGTAGAAAACTTTGTATTTAGAAACAGCCAAATTTCTTGAATGTAAAAAAAAATTGTATTTCTATTCAAATTAGCGTGATAGGTTTCAAACTGGGTATCACTGCAACTGGCATCAGTGCGCGTTTCGCGCTGGCATTGCGCCGCCGCGGAGCTCCCGCTATTTCTAATTTTCACCTCAGCTCAGCTTGTAACGAGCCTTGGTTGCTGAGCGAAAAGGATGCTGTACTTCTTCTGAGTTCGATGCCCGATGGTCCTAAAACTTTCTCGAGACGAAATTAACTTCGAATCATGATTCATGGTCCAAATCGGTCCTAAAATTCATTTTTTCCCTAAATAAGCGACTGAAACCGATTTTGTCACCTTCCGGCCAAAGTATCACCAGCACCATGCGGCGTTTAAAAATTGCCACCATCATTTTATTTTTTTACCGAGAAATTTTCGGTTGAATCTGTTTGATAATTATACTGAATTTTATCGAAAGCACAAAGAAAATTCAGTGAAATTATCGGACAGCTTTGTTGAGCAACTTTTTCTGTAAAATAATTAAATGACTGCGGAAATTTTTAAATGTCTCATGGCACTTGTGATACTTTGGTCGGAAGTTGGCGACTTAGCGGTTCAATAAATTAGCGAATTCTGTTAAATGGAAAACTTCGTGTTAATTTATTTTTTTTCTTTACATTTTTTTTTTAAATTTCTGACTTTTCAAAATGACATTAGAAGAAAGCCGGTTGATGAATAGTAAAGCCGGTATGAAAGACCAGTTCTTCCGCCTAACAAGAAAATGCACTCCATTCTCAAATATATTTTTTGCTAAAATTACCCAAAGCTGCGACGTGTTTAACCTCGTTACGGCCAATTTCCGGGGATTCGAGTATACCAAACCATCCGTTCGGATAAATGGGAAAAGATTTTCCAGACTTCCTTTGCAATCGACCCTTGAGGTGCTCTTTTGCCATTGCATCATTTTTCGCTAGAAGTTTGAAATATTTATCACTCTTCGCTCCGGTCAGGTCCTGAGCATGAGAAAATAAAAAAGAACAAAAGAAAGTAAAATCTTCTTAATAGTATGTATTGCATATGGATAGACACGACAATTATAAATGTACTCTGAAAATGGTTTACCGTTCTCAACATCGAGGGATAAAACTTGTTGGGAAACAATCGAGGAAAATACATCATATCATGTACTTCGTATCTCCAGTTGGGCCTTTAAAAGTTAAAAATATGGAACAATTCTGAAAGTTCTTTACTAAACAACAGCTCTGTTTAGAAAATAACCACCAAACAAGTCTGACATTTTTGTAGCACTTTTTCACTCTTTCGTCAGACCTTGATATATCATTGCACATAAATGGGCTCTTGTCACACAAACAGTTAAAACTGCCTCTCTTATCATTCACCATCGCCAAAAAATATAAGACATCAGCAAACACGTTCATTTTTTGCAGATTAATGGAGACGATCATTTCCTGAGGATATTCTTGACGCGCAAGTAAGCTTTATCAAACCATCATTTCTCAACTTAAATCATCCTTTGCAATCGAGGCAGAAATTGTGCATCTGAATCGCTCAGGAGACTGAACTGCGTGGATCATTCACCAAGTAAATTGTTTGTGTTTGCATATGCACTAACAAAGATTATGAGATACCAACTTATATATAGTTACTTACGGTAGTTAAATTCAACGGTCGGCTCAGATAATACAAAAGACAGATGGTTCCGAGAGATAGCAAGGCGAGGTTTGGGAGAGTGACGCAAAGCAGGTAGTGTAATACTGTAAACTGAAGGCTTCCGAACTGCCTATAGTCATCGCAACTTGTGTCAGAATATGTGGGACAATAATGACTGAAATGATGTTACAAACATGACGTTAAATCTTAGTAGAAGGCAATTCGACGGTGGCACCACAAAGACACGTTTCTCATTCGTTGTGTTTCAAAATCTATTCTATTCTATCCAACCAACACCATGCCTTGAAACTTTCGCAGAGAATGTTCCACACAAAGAATAAATTCACAAATGTTCTCACGGTATGATATTAGGAATTTTTTTTAGGAAGAAAATACATCAAGTATTCGGAAATTCATGATAAAGCACTGCTATTAAATGGACCGCGTTAAACAGAGAGAACCCAAGCCACATCAGCTGTTGCCCAATTTAACAGGGACATTTTATTTTTTACGAGAGAACGTTAGTGTGGATTTCTTTAAAAATTTTCAAGGATTTGCTTCGCACTATGGAGAAAATCCACGGATTTGCACACAAAACCGCACAACCGTTTTCATGTAAAAAATTAAATTGCCCAATTAAATTTGGCAATAGCTGTTGTGGCTTGGTTCTTCTGTTTAACGCGGTCCAAATGTTAATTCGTTGTGGTTTTTTGATGGTCGGTCTTCATTACGACATCAAGTCTCCAACGTCGCAAACCGAGATACACGTCTTGCAAGTTTCACCGTCGGATTATATGTATCTTGAATGCGAAGGGCGTTTCAACTTGAATCTTGAAACTTTCAAGCAGATTTTTTAAGTGACCTTCCTCAGAATTACAGCCTCCTCCCCCCCAAAAAATCATGAAGAACAAATGCATATACCTCCAATCCTGCCGTCAGTTCAGGATTGAGCTAAAGCATTTGCGTTGACCCTTATTTTTACTGTAAGTATATTTTAAGTTAAGGAGTAATTCTACCAAACCGTTCAGTTGTATAAAAAAAAAACTATGCACAACATTTCATAGCAGTGCTTTATTATAAGTTTCCGAATGGTGTAATTATCTTATTTGACATAACGCTTTACTTAACAATACATGGAAATAGACTTTTCCTTTTGTAATTATTCTAAGGCAGGAATCCTTTGCGAAGACGTCCTCGAAAATAATTAGATTAAAAATAAATTTGGTGCTTTTTGTCATTCTGTCAATGTATAAACTTTTTTAAATCTCGTGCGAGGGATGAACCTTCTTTTAACTGTTGTCTCCTTCTACAACAGCCCGCTGTACATCCACAGTTTCTTCCATTGCTGAAATATATAAAATGAGATGATCCAAGAAAGTTACCTTCCCCTGAAGAGAGTGCCCAAATTGAATGCATCTCCATCGTCCTTCGAAGGAGAGTAGAAAACAGTGCGTGACGCGTCCAGTTTGAGAATTACGTTCGGAATAATGGAGATGGCGACAGGTGGGCAAAATAATTAGGGAAGACGTAGACTCGAAAGAAGTCAACCAATGGTATCACCCATTTGCATAACAGTATCTTGTAGCACTACTCCGTAAGATAATTCAAACATAAAGTTGAATTACGTGCAATCTCAGGCATATTTCCACGAAAATCTCTCGGTTTAAAATCCCAATCGAAAGTCTTTCCTCAATCTGAGCTGGACATCTGGATAGGTGGAAAAATAGGATAGACGCAGACTCGAAAAAAGTCAACCGATGTAATCACCCATTTTCATAATATCATCCTGTAAGACTGAGTACTTGTACTAGGAGTAGTCCGTAAGATAATTCAGATACCTATCCACATGGAATCAAATTAATGCAACCTCAAGTTTAATCTGCGGCATATTTTCCCGCAGCTCTCTCGCTTTAAAATCACTTTTTGAAACTCTTTCCTCACTCTGAGTTGGAACTTGACGTCAGGGCCGGATTAAGGGGGTGGCCACATGGGCCGCGGCCCATGACGCCAAACTTTGCAATTTTTTTAAATGTAGGTATAAAAAATCGGATTCAGAAAAAAAATTATGAATGAGAAAAGGGGACAAAATCTCTCTTTCCTGAGAGTATAGTCATTTCTAATTTTGTCGTTTTTCGATGATACAAGAAATAGCATCTTTAATTAAGAGTGAAGAGAGGAATAAACACGCAATTTGGCCTGGAGCTCAACGCAGAGAGGAATGATGACTAGGACTTGAGATGAAAAAGACAAGCCCTCGGCGCGGCGATCGGCATGTATACACATATTAGCGCCTACAAGACTGCATGAATACTTCACTCATTGCGCCTAACACAGTGCGATCAGCTCGGCGCAGCGGCGGAAGTTAAAATTATTAAACCACATTTATGTTTGTTCTTTCATAATTTTTTGGTTCATTTCTTATAAATGGAGGACCTTGTCCACATAGAGATAGGTTTACGCGCAAAGTTCCGTGAAATATTGCTGGTCGTGTTGACAGGGCTTTCGCAAAAAATGTATCCAACACGAGTAGGTAAACGCGTCTCATGCACCCCTCCCCCTCCGGCACGTTCACTTGATAGTTTTTATTGATGTTTCAAAACGAATGAGAAGGAGGTGGCAAAATACAGGCGGCCCATGGGCGGCAAGTAGGTAAGTCCGGCCCTGCTTGACGTAGCTGGGGAAGTTGACAGAAGGTCTCAGAGCCTTGTTTCTACCCAGAGATTGTCACGTTTCCTACAGTCGTAGATGTTTTTAGGCAAAAGAAAATAACGAATGCCCAACCATTCCTTGAAATTAAGATAGTTTGGTATCTTCATGACTCTTTTTCTTCCTTAAGGGGAAAAATAATGGCATTTCCAAAAACGACGCTCACTTTCAAGCGTGTATACTTAATGCTGATTTCTCGGCGCTTTTCAGCGCATTTTGACTGGTCATGGTATAGTTGTACAAATTTTCGAAACTTGTTTATTACTGGAATTAAGTAAACATTTCCCGCAAATCAACACGATCGCATCGTGATCCTTCATTCCTTAAGTCCGCTTGTTCCACTTTCAAAGACGAAGATGCAGGTGGAAAAGGAAAAAGAAGCAACGCAAAAAAAAGAAAGAAAAAAAAGCCAACATGTGCAGAAGTTTCTCGTGGATTACGTTTATCGTAATTACGTTTTTGGCGAAAAGTTCTCTCTAGGATCCCCATTTTTGTGCCGTCTAGGACGACGTAAAGTAGCATTTTCATCCGACACTTCTACGCCCCTTACGTCGCCTATAAAAACTTCCCGCCTTTTCTTCTCGCATGTTTAGTTTCAGACTGCAAACATCAAACCGTCATTAATCCAGTCTGGTTTTTTTTAAGCCTGTATTGCCAAACTGCCATAAAAGAGGGAAGCTTCAACGCGCGCTTACTCACCATGTAAAATATTTTCACTCGGAAACATATAAATTAAAATGAAAATTATTATTAAATGGTAAAAATGATCATGCAAATATCATACAGATGGAGATTAAAATATACCACAAAATAGTTATATTTGCTTGCTTACTTAAATACATTTAGCTCTGTAATTACTTGGTACGTAATAAAATTTTAAAACGTAAAAATCAGGTCTCAGTACAAAATCGATCATCTGAAGACATTTTTAATTCCTCGTTCATCACAAAAGCCTGAAGGAGGTAATACTCCTAATTTGTCGGGTGTTAATACAACAAAAATTTTATGCGGGTACTTATTTTAATTGAATCAAACATCATATGACAAAATTCTGCTTCTCCTCTAATCCTATAACCTATGCGAAAATTCCACAACAATGGTGTGTATTTGAAAAATCATTGTCAAATATTCCTCCGCTCATAGTCTAATGAGAAGCTGTTGTTTGAATAGAACTGACTGTACCATCTCCTGAAGTTGACAAGGGGTCCTTCTTCCTTTATCGCGTTAAGTTGCAATCTTGGTTTGCCATAATTCCATATCGTGACATCATCCTCAACCTGGTAAAAGCATAAGGGAAAAAATTAAATGAAACCACAATGTCAATCCGCGATAACGGCTTGGAGAACATAGACTTTGGTTTGCTCATGTATGAGGGTGAAGTCACCTAAGGTAATAAAAAAAAGAGAGGCATCGGCAGTTCTTCTTAAATAACAATGCGAAATTTGGTGCAAATCCGATACCATACTTTCTGCACCTTCATAATGAAAATGACCAAATACGGTTCTTTCAATCCTTAGATCAAGTTCTGAGGATACCTCAATGATAGATCATCTAACAATAAGTATTTTAAATTCAATTACAATCCTCTCTTTTCGTTCCATATGAAGTAGTTTTTCTCTACAATTTCGTCAGTGAAGGATGTCTAGGCCCAAAGGTAAGGGGGGTGTCATGGATACCTGACGTGCCCCGAACAATGTTTCAAGGGAGAGGGGGTCCACACTGAGAAGAAGCCATGGCTCATGAACCAATTAGTGGTTCATATGGAACACCACTAATGGTGGTAAAGGCAACATATATCTTAGTGGTATATATACCTTGGTGTGGTTCACCAGACCGAGAATCATTAGTTATTTTCCACTATTAGTGGTTCTCTGTATGAACTATTAATCGTAAAGCTATAGATTTTTGTCCGTTCACTTAAATCTAATCTCAGGCCTAAACCGGTGCGAAGCGTCCATTCGAAAAAATTCCGATCATTCGCGGCGAAAAACTCCAATTTTTCGTGAGTAATGTGAGGAGACCTGACGCACAGTGGATTGAGTTAGTAGGATATGTCGGACAAAATTTGGAAACTTCAAAAGATTTTAACTCCGTTCATACAAAATATTGAGGTTCTCGAAGGGGGTCTTTTGGTTTTCGCTTGAAATTTTCTGCTGGAAGCACCCCTTAAAATTTAAAATAAGACGAAATAAACATCAAAATTTGCAGTTTTAGTCAAAAAATTTATGTCCGACCTCTCTGATCGACTTGATCCACTGTGTGACGCCAAAGTCTGTTGAAAAATTAAAAGCTTTTTGTAATTTATAGACGGCTTCTGATAGGTGGCGCGCTCTTTAAACACCGGAGTGTCAGCGTTGGTGGCTAAATTTTTCTGAAAAGCATCGTTAGTTGCAGCTCACTGACGTTATTATAATATCCATGCAGCATGAATCGACCCATGAGAACGTGGCATGGTCGCGTATATAGTTGTCCAGCCATCCGAACTTTAAGTGGCCCAATTGGCGTAATGAGCACCGTCATGTATGCTTTGACGTTTGTAAATAATGTTGTGACCTCTACATAGCCTGGCCCAACCTGGAAGATAAGATTTGCACCATGATATGCGTAAGCAAGCCTCAAGGCCACATCAACTGTAAAAATTACTAATCATACTGTTAGAACATGGTTAGAAAATTCCAGCTTTTTGCAGTACCATCAGTGGCGTAGGAAGGGGGGGGCCAGGGGGGGCCTGGCCCCCCCCAAAATTGGAAATAGTATCATCTGGCCCCCCCCAGAAATTCTGGATGGTGCAAAAACACCATCTTTAACGGTAAGTCTCTGTCGCCGTGGCCCGTGAGAGGATGCCACTAAACATTCACTAAACATTTATTTCGCAATTTTCACACAAATGAGTGGTTAAAAGTGAGAAAATAAATGGAATAACCTGTTGAATGCAACAATTTCAAAGTATTTTAACCTTAAAATGCATAAAACTGGGTGAATTTTATGCAGAAATTGAAGGAAGATTAACGCCACAAGTGCCTCGAGATGCGCTCAAATAGAGTTAAAATTTCAAAAATTTTCCGGGGGAGGCCCCCCGGACCCCCCGCTGACCTGGGGGGTATTCCATACCCCCCAGACCCCCCGGCGGTGGGGGGCCAGGCCCCCCCAGCAAAATGGCCTAGCTACGCCTATGAGTACCATTTTCCATATATTCACGCGTTTCCTTATACGTTAATGAGCTGCCAAACGTGAAATTATATGCAGTGTTAGCCATTATTTTTCTTCCGTTCCCTTGTTTATTTATTTCTTAAGAACTTCTCACAATTCTGAGTTAGCCCAACCAAAACACTTCCAACTAAAAATGTGCCGTTGGGTTGTTAATTGCTTGTAACAAATCTTAACCAATGCATACTTTCTAAAAACGTGAATAGGTACGATCACTCTTCATACCCAAGTTGGAACTTCCGTCACACGAATCATAATGAACGTGTAATGTCAGTGATGAAGCATAATGTTATATTTCGACCCAGTCTGGTGTTGAATTTTTGGTAAGAGGATAAGAAAAGAATCGCTATTTGTTCTTTTGAATAAAGGAAAAGCAACAATGATCATACGTACACATTTTACAACCTGAAGTCCGTTCGGAATAAAAAATTTTTTGAGAAATTTAAACTGAAATTCAGTGCGAGTCCACGACAAGTGTGGATGGTCTGCATCAGGTTCCCAGGATGTTTTTTGATTCAATTTGACGAAGAATGAGATCCACTTCCTCCAGAAGCCGTCCAAGTCAGCACCCGCAAATCCCATTCGAGGAACGTGTAAATATTCCACATGGAAGTTGTCAGCCAAATTTTGCAGGATGTCCTTTTAATTGAAAACAAAAGCGAGCTTATAAAATCAGCAGTAGGTCTGATGCACACAAGATGCAGCCAAGTGAGTAGATTAGAACTGGGTAAAATTACGATAGACACGCCAACGACAAAAAAGTTTTATAGCGCGCAATAATTTATCAATAACCGGATTTCGTAATTCCCTTTGCTGTAACTTTGTTGTTGTTGTTGTTGTTGTTGTTGTTGTTTTTATGTTTTTTTTTCTTTAAATTTTCTGCGTGCGCAGACAGATTTTCATGATAACAGGTGACCAGATATTTGCCAAGAGGAAGCTTCAACCAAAATTCAATCAACATAAAATCTTACAATAATTTTCTTGCTTACGAATTCAATAGTTTTTTGCGATTGTAACCTCCTTATTTCTTTGTTTTTCAAGAACAAAAACCAGGAATTAATCCAATTCAAGCAAAAGGTAAGGAAAAACATGGATTGTCCAGCAGCAGATGGGAGACACGTTTACGTGGTTTTTTAAACTTTCCTCCTGAATCTGAGGTATGTCTCACTGGCGGTATGCAGCGGAGCATTCAAAGTGTACGCCTTCAATTTTGCAGATGCAGCTCGGACATCCGTCAAGCATATATAGTTGTAGGTACCCCTGCGCTGTCATTAACGCGCGTTGAGGTGTCTCTTATTTTTAAAATATGAGAAAAATTAAGGTTGAGTTTGCTCAAAATACCTATACTATGATGTGTCCAAATCAATAATCATTTTAGAGGAAATCATGTCTAGAGGTCTCTCAAGCGTCCTAAAAGGCGCACGTCTAAAAATTTGTATTTTGGCAAGAGTTATGTCCTGTCAGAGAATTTGTTTTTGAACGACTACCCCCAGAAATCTCAAGCCGAGTCAAATTGACCCGAGGTTCGCCTCCGAGGGTTTTACATATGACGGATGAGGAGGGGGCGAGAAAGCGCCAGAGTGTTACCAAAAAGATGAAAATTTCCAGAGAAAGAAAAAAAAAAGCATCTCTTACCTTCAAAACATGGAAACAACAGAGATAATACATCAAAATCAATGTGTTCAAAGGTGGGTCGATTTCATCCGATTTGGGGCTTTATGTATTAAAAAGTCTTGGGTATCTAAGAGTTTTTTTGTAAGGGTTGCGGATAGAAATATTCTATTTTCCGCTGAATAATCTTCTCTGAAAGTCTCTTTCCTTGTTACATGGGCAGAATCGGACTTACGACGCCCCTAAATAAGCAGCTATTGACCAATTATTCCAAAAAGGACTTTCAGGAATGTTTCAATTTCTCAACATTCCCGTGAAACTAAATAGCCATTGTTGACCCATTGGATTTAGATATGAGTCAAGGTCCTTAGTTATTGCAGATTTTGAGAATTATTACAATACGGGGGCTCTTAAAAACATCACACTACTCTCTACGTCTTTTGAACAAGACGTTTTCCCAGTGCCACATTCGTGCACCTTAATGATCCTGCTTCAATCTCACCTCAGTATGCGCATCCATTAAATATTCAAAGCGTCCGACATACTTGTATCCCCCAGAACTCGTTATTTCCTTTAATGGTTGTATTTCGTAGGATGGCTCCTCTCCCTCAGCGTGATACCACACGAAAATGATGTGGTTCACCTCTACTGACCTCCAAGTAGTAGGCACTTTCGCACTGTCTGGAAGCGAAAGCAACTAAAATTATTATTACCAATAAATAATTAATCTCTCTCAACACGAAGTTATGAAAACACTTCTACTTAGAACTCCGGAATCTATTTAAGGTCCAACAGGGTTAAAATCTTTCATGGACCCACATGCATATTCTTGAAACGAATATAGCTTGTTGAACAAAATGAGAAATCCGGAAAAATGAGATTAGAATACTTAAAATCTGAAGACGCAAAATGTTTTCATATCGCCCAAATAGCACGGTGCAACAAAAATATTGAAATTAAATTGCAATTTTTGACCATTAAATTGCAGTATTCTTATATAATTTAGTCGATTTATGCCGATTTTGATCAATCAACAATATGAGCTCCATCTGTCAGAAAGATAGACATAATTCGCAATGCAATGAAAAATTGCAACTTATTTAAATGTTAATGCAATAAGTTTTAATAAATGAGGCGACTTCAAGTAGGAACTAGGCAACATACACAACACTCAGTGGAATTGCAATATTTTTACAATGTAATTGCTACTTATTGCAATCTGTGCTACTTGGGCGGGTAAGGCTTGGCGATAACAATTTTGTATGATAAAATTCCAGGGAACCTCTTCAGTTTGCTTCAAAAAATGTAAACACTTACCACATTGTGGAATTTCTCAATTTATTTTGTGAACTTTTATTGCTGAGCTCGAAATTGTAAAAAATTTTCATATCAAGTTGGGATTTTTGGTATCTCAAAACTTTTCCCCATAAATATGATTTTGAGACTGAAAGATAAAAAAAACTGAAGTAACAAAACCAAAACTCAATAAGAAGGTAAGTAAAATTCAAGAGTAGTTTTTTATGACACAGCAATAAATTTATACCCACCATCTACATCATTAATTTGCGGGTAGGTCTACCGGTACCTACACTACAAACAATTGTAAAACCATTCTATAACGACTCTTTTCACACAACTATAGGAATATAAATTGGCGGAATCGCAGGAGGTTTTCAAAATTATCCACCGCTTGTATTGGGACAAGCCGCACCCTTGTATGTATTCCTTACAAGCCGTTATAAGCCGTAGTATCTCACCCATTCATTTTTTGAAACGAAACACAGAAATGAAGTGTTTTTAATGGAAAGACGGTATGAGAAATTCTCATCCATCGTTTAGTTCAATAGTATTTTTGGCATGCTCGGATGAATTTGCTACAGTCCTATCTTATGTATTTTGCCGCCCCCTTCTCATTTGTTTTGAAACATCAAGAAAAACCATCAAGTGAACGTGCCGGAGGGGGAGGGGTGTATAAGACGCGTTTACTCGTGTTGGATTTATTTTTTGCGAAAGCCCTGTCAACACTACTAGCAAAAGTTCACGGAACTTGCCGCGAAAGTTAAGTTCCGTAAACCCACCGCTGTGTGGATAAGGCCTTCCATTCAAATGAAATGAACGAAAATATTATGAAAGAACAAACATAAATGTGGACTAATAATTGGACGTATTTCTACCAAACAGACCTATGTGGAAGTGAGAAATATGGGGTGTGCTCGTTAGTTCTCTTGCGTAAGAGTGAATGAGAATAATAAAGCGCCAGTGACGTCAGCGGTAAGAATCGAGTCGGGGCCACGACGGGGAGATCGTCGTCGGGGCGCATTAACTCATGAGCCCTGTCCACAACGCTCTCTTGCCATGTCCGCGGCTCATGAGTTCCGCATCCAGTTGACACATAGGTCTGTTTGATAGAATGCAATATCCCGCTTTTCCAATTCTTCAAAAGGAACCACGCCCACTTTTACATTGCTTCTTATGCAGATTTATAGAGCACACCCCATATTTCTCACCTGCACGTAGGTCTGTTTGGTAGAAATACGTCCAATTTTAACTTCCGCCGCCGCGCCGCGCTGACCGTACTGTGTTTGGCACAATGCGTGAAGTATTCCTACAGTCTTGTATGCGCTACGTTTCACGCCGACCGCTGCTGCACGCACTGTGTTTGACGTAATGCGTGAAGTATTCATGCAGTCTTGTAGGCGCTATACGTCTCACGCCGCCCGCTGCGGACCGCAGCGACCGCGCTGTCTTTGACGCAATGCGTGAAGTATTCATGCAGTCTTGTAGGCGCTAATATGTGTTGCATGCCGACCGTCGCGCCGCGCCGAGGGTTTCTCCTTTTCATCTCAAGTTCTCGTCATCATTGCTGTCTGCGCCGCGCCGTTCAAAGCCAAATTCCGTGTTCGGTTTCTCTCTTAGTCTTAACTCGACTAATGAAAGGTGCTGTCTCTTGTATTACAGAAAGACGACAAAATTAGAGAATACTCTTAGGAAATGAGAGATTTTGTCACCTTTTTTCGTTTGTAATTTTTTTTCTAAATCCGATTTTTCTTTATAGCTACATTTAAAAAAATTGCAAAATTTGCCGCCATTGGCCGCGGCCGACGTGGCCACCCCCTTAATCCGGCCCTGCAAAGTTATCGCTTGAATACATAGAGTTGCTATGCGCTGGAACGCCGATGAAGTCAATCCTTGAAAGATGCATTCTTAGCCCCATGTTCGTCGAAAAAGAGAACCAAACGGCATTTTAACACGGTGTCTTAACGGAAGAATTGCGGGCCGCGAGTGGTTTTGGGGATTTACTATAAAAATCGATAATTACTTTCGCGAATTTCGGCAAAATATGTTGACCGAAATCATAACAAATTAATAAATGTTTGAAAGTCCCAGTTTGTACGAAATACATCTTTTTTTATCTATATTTTCCAAGTGAAGCCTCGAGCTGGGATTCTGCGCATGTGGCATCAGCAGTCGCTGCACACTAATCATAGAAGCACTGGACAGTAAAACAAACTCAAAAAGTGACTTCTGCGCTTCAGTACTTAGCGACTCTATTGTTCTCTACTTCTAAATACAAGCCAGTCACTGGTCCAGTTGCCCTCTATTTCTTTAACTTGATCCTTGATCCTGATCCCTGATATTTTTTTTTCCTCCTGCCTTTTTCGATACGTGGGATATCCTTCCAGTTTTCCGTTTCTGCACTGAATTGCCATCCATGGGAAGGACATTCCAAGCAACCGTTCCTAGGTGTCCCTTCTACTTCCACGTCTCCTCTTAAATGGATGCAACACGCATTGACTACATGTACTTTTCCATCTGCCCCCCGAAAAACAGCAAAATTCTCGCCTGAAAAACACAAGAAAACACGAATATAATCACTCTTATGTCGGTAAATCTTGCTGTAAAAGTTTTCAATCGAGCTAGAGATACTTTGCATTCTAGAAAAGTCAAAAATACGCCCATAATATGGTGCTTGGAGGGTTCTCCCCGCCCCCAGAAAAGTTGCATAACCTTAATTAGATCGATACCAGTAGATAGGTAAATAGATAGATACACCAGGAGACCCCTGTGAAGGCTACATCGCCCCCCTCCCCCCCCNCCCCCTGTAAATTATTCAAGCCATACTTATAAGATTAGGTTGATGTTCAATTCTTTTAGGACCTCCCAAAATAGTCCAGGAGGTCGCTGTTATTTAGATGTCCCCCTTCAAGATCGACAAATTTTTTGACAATTTGCAGTTTCAGAGAGGGGTCGGGAAGGGGAGCCACCATGCCCGTCTTGTGACAGTGAAATAGTGAAATTCCACAGAGTACATAAAGTCGTAATGTAAATGGGAGAGCTGGCGCCATGTTCTGCTCGATGAATTCCGAGCCCGGTGTGCGCCGAGTTCGGGTCGCTTTTTCGATACATTTTCGATCCAAAATGGCGGTGTGGAATACGTGGTAATTCCTATCTCCTTTGTTGTTGTTGTTGTTGTTGTTGTCATCGGATGGCCCGGTACCCGTGTATTGCAAGCAATCGATTATGTATCGAAAAAGTGACTCGGCGTCACATAGGAGTCTCGGAATTCGGGACATGGAAAATGCTCTAAAGTGGCGCCAGCGCAGCTCTTCCACTTACATTACGACTCTATGTACTCTATGTGAAATTTAGATGATTAATGGGAGGGGGTTGATCAATGTGAGGTTATGTTTCATTGTTTGAATCCAATTCGATACAATCGATGCCGACTGTGACGTGGCACTAATTGAGTCTATCTTTGTAGATTTTGATCATATATAGAGGTGGGCTCTTAGGGTAGCATGGGATATCCCTCCGTTACGGCCTTATTGTCGTGAGCTTTTTCCAAGCTTTCGACTTGATTTTAGAGAAAACCTAAGGCACCATCGTGTTTCTAGTAAAATACCTAAGTGGAGGTCCTTGAATCGTGAATCCCTCACGGAAATAAGAGCTCCTTTCCAGGAAGTACTGTTTGTGAAGGTTTATTCGGATCTGCTTTTTGAATTAGCAAGTTTGATGAACAACGCGACTAAAAATTGTATGCAAAACTAATAAGCCTTGCATCTCGGATCTAGAAGATATGTGACTGTTGGACTGATCCTCTGATAAAGAAAATAAACTCTCAAAAATATTTTATGCTAAACTTACCCAAAGCTGTGACGTTTTTAACTTCGTTACGGCCAATTTCTGAGGATTCGAGTATACCAAACCACCCGTTTGGATATATTGGAAGTTTTCCAGACCCTCGTTCTTGTTGCAATCGACTTCTAAAATGCTCTTTGGCCATCGCATCATTTTTTGCGGGAAGTCGGAAATATTTATCACTCCTCTCCCCGGTCAAATCCTTGTCATACGAAAATCCGAGAGAAAAAACGTTAATTCCATTGTGGGCATATTTTAACATTACAACGTTTACACATTTACAAGCCTTATGACAGTACTCTTATAAAGCAGCCTGCTCTGGCGCAAATTGATAAAAGCTGCCCGGAAACTGTTAGGGAAAATGTGAAGTTACTTTTTACAGTGGGTTCATTTAAGGGGAACGGTTTTGAAAGTTGTGATTCTGACAACTGCTAAACGTTTTAAAGTAGTTTAAAACCTCTTTTTTCATTAGACTTCTGAAGAAGGAAGAAAACGGACACGTTTTGCCGGACCAAAGAGTTTCTGAGTGTATATTTTGCTGCTCTACAGTTTCACTGAAGCGGGGGGGGGGGCGGCTATTTTAGGGTCTTTCAGAGAGGGGACAATTTATTTTTTATTAAAAGGGCAGCTATAGCAACAAAGTCGGTTCAAACTAGGAACCGTGGTTTCCAAAATTAAATTATCTACAGCAATTGAGACGGAAATCATACGTCGGAATAGCTTAGGAGACCCAAATACCTTCGCTCCTCTGACGAAAGGGTGTATCTCGATTTTCGCATGAGCCCAGAGGAGCACTGAGTTAAACGGAGAGCAGGGCTCAAACGGAGGGCAGTGAAATCGAGATACATCCTTACGTCAAAGGAGCTACGATGTGTGGATTTCTGAGCAATTTTGTCGTGTCAAGTAGCGAGGTTTGTAAAAAATAAACGTAGCTTCTTACGGAAATTAAATTTAGTGGTCGACTGAGGAGGTAGAGGTAGTACAAGATATAGATGACTCCAAGAGATAGCAAGACGAAAAGAGGACCCGTTTTCGAGAGTAAATCAACGTAGACAGTGAAATACCGCATACTGAAGGCACTCCAACTGCCCATCGTCATTGCAACTTGTGTAAGAATATCTAAGATAATAGAAGAGCGAATGGTACGATAAAATTGCGTTACAAAAACAAATTTTATTTAAAAGGCAATCGGACGGCGAAACTGCGAAAATGCACATCTCCTTTGGGGTGTTTCGACATCTTCGCTCCCACTTAGTTTAATTTTAAGAAGAGTGAATGGCTTGAAATTTTTAAAGAATATTCTTCACGTACACAAAAAATTCGGGGAAGTCAAAATACAACAATAGGTGGTTTTTCATTCCGTAAAAAAGTATGGTCGAAAGTCTGCAACAACGCAAACTGAGATTCTGCAGCTGCACCGTCGGACTATTCATTGCCATGTGTGGCAACTTCAATGTGGTACGGAATATAATAAAAGAATATGAACTATGCATAACGATTATTCCGATATCGGAACTTGGCTGTTTTGAAAACACCTTCAAATGCGGCGTGATACCTCACGCATTCCGGAGAGTTCAAATAGTTGTATCATTGCGCCGTAAGAATGTGACGGAAGATTTAAATGGAGATCGCCTCCATGCACGCTGGGCTTGTCGATTTCCTCTGAAATTTTTGCAGAGGTGAATGCATAGCTGAAGTGCGCTTCAGCTAGAATTGTATTCACAAATGGGTGGTTTTTCTACGAGGATTAAAAATAAACAAGTGGCACGGAATATAACAAAAGAATATGAACTATGCA